TACATACATACATACATACATACATTCATACATACATACATACATACATACATACATACATACACACGTGCACACATGCACACATGCACACACACATACACACATACACACATACACACACACCAGACCAAAACGAAAAACACCAACCAATGGTAGTATTTTTCCCACCACGAGGGGCCTTTCACTGTTTGAGTTGTCCAGCACGAGCTGTCAAGCGCAACGAGGCGGCTTCGCTGCCCTTGATTGTAGCCCGTCTTCAATCGCTTCAGGAGGGTCAAACAGTCGAAGATACGGCGCTTTCTGACAATGTTCGTTGTGAAGGAGTTCGAGTGACTTGACGGGTGCGGTCAGCCAGGCCTTACACTTGCAGAGTGCATCCTTTGCCTCCCGGCTCAATGCGCTGGAGAAGCAGCAGGTCAGGAGTCTTTGCAGTGTGAGTACCAGGGAAATAGAGCACTGGAGCTTCAAGAGAACAACAAACTTGAGGGACGTAACATTAACCACACTTTCAGGATTCATGTTGTTTCCTTCAAAACTTGAGGAGGTACTGAGCATCAATTCTGTCACAGGTACCACTTGTCCCTAGTTACCTGGTCCTCCTTTGACAGGAAGAGCTGGCAAAGCTGCTCGAGACCACCTCCGAAGCTGTTCAGGAGAAACCAGTCGACTTGGCGAACTGACTGGCACCAGTGTCCAGAGATGTTTGACACGAAATGTGATTGCGTTTGCATTTGACTGAATGCAAAGCCAATGTTCAACCCAAAGAGCACCAGGGTCGCTGTTGGGAGGATCTTCATTCTGGGCTTCGGGAAAACATGAGCATTGTGACTTGGCACTCATTAGCTGTTTGTGCATTGCTGATGTTTGACATGGGTTCTTGGCAATAAAACTTGAGGGGAGGACAGTTTTGAAGGTTGGACCTGCACCTGAATTGAGGTCAGAGACAACATGAAAAGCCTCGAGGAGAAGCTTGCGCAGGTGGGTTGACATTTCCATGGCAAAATCCAGCTACTTGAAGGTCTTCTGTTTGACTAGGCTCCTAGGGGCCAGGGCTTCTAGGTCCTTTCAATTTGTATTGAAGTGCTGTATCATTAATTTTAGAGGATCGGCACCGACCTGCTTAGGCGGTGCGCAGCTGACGACTCGAGGCTCATGGATATGAGTTGGCATTTTGCAATCCTGTTTCGCACAAAATCTAGGAACCGAATCATTAGCGTGAGCTATCCTGCGTCCTACCTAGAAACTTGCTCCCTTACTTAGATAAGTAGGCGCCTACTTAGTATACCTAATTAAGTAGGAGGGCGGGGCCACAGGCTAAAAAGAGTATCAATCATTTCCCGAGTTACTTCGTTCGTTGCAGGAGCTGAGCTTGAAAGTTGGGACTGAAAAAATGGCGGCCGTTGAGAGGTCAGGTCAGAGAAGTTGGTAGCCTTGGGCCTGTTTGCTTTGCAAAACAGGGTCAGTCAACCTGACCGGTTCCTTGATTTGTGTCCCATTTCTGTGGGAACAGTTCATTCAGTTGGGACAAAGATGAATGGACTTGAAATGCAATTTGGCTCACAAACGTGGGGAGTTGATGTTTGCCAGAAAGGCATCTTGGCAGCAATGCGCCCTTTGCTGCTTTGAGCAGGTTGACGAATCAAGTTCGCATTCATCCTATCTCTGCTCGACAATGTACAGTAAATTAGTTCGATTAAGTTACAAGTTACAACTTTTTACTTGTAACCTTAGTAACCTCTTACGAATGTGCGCGCATTTCGTTACAAGTTACACATGTGCACAACCTTGCCTGCTACGATGTAAAATATTTTTCATTCTTTCCTCTTGAGCCTTCACCTGAGGCCAGAGCAGGCTGCCATGGGCTGCTCCGGCGCCAAGCCTGCTCAACAAGGTATGCGGTGTGACGGTTTGAGGGTGGTCTACGGGTGGTCTGCCAGCACTGCCTCATCCATTGCTGCTTGTGTGTGAGCCTTTTGGTCGGTGGGTCTATGGTTCTATCATGTTCTATCCCTGAAACAGCCAGGCCAGTTGGGGCTTAATGTGCAGGATGCGCAGTTGGTGAGAAGCACCATTGAGGCCAGGGGCCTTGAGAACCAGCAAGTCTGAAAGTGACGGATTCCGCTGAAGAGTTATGTGATGTGCCAGCTGCTGTATGGAGTTCTTGCTCTTGCCTGCGCACGTCATGTGCAGGCCAAGATTGTCCTGTTGGGCGACTCTGGTGTTGTCGTGCCCTCAAGAAGACTTGAGATGTGTTTGCATATTTGGATCCCACAACGAAACCATATGATCCTTCAGTTTCACGGTTTATATCGTTCCCATGTGAGTGCTGGCCTTGTATGAGTCTGTCCAGGAACAAAGCAGACAGGTTTCTCATTCACTCCACAGCTGCAGACTCTGCAGACTTTTGCGCCAGGGCAAGTCGTCACTGGCTTTGCGCTTTTGCCAGGGTCGCTTCAATCCTTACCATGAGGCTCCCGACAAGGATAGGGTTCACAAGTCTCAGCTAATTGAATCTAAATCCCAAGGATGACGTAGCGGTTCCAGAACATGGTCCGACATGACACAGCGAATGCTGTGGGCTGGGGCCATATGGCTGGGCCCCTCGGTATCGCACCACCTGGCAGGTCACCATTGGTGCCGCCTTTTTGCAGCAGATTGTGCGATTGCGCCACTAGGCCAAATTCATGTTCATCGGACTGGGTCAATGAGCCGCGGATTCCATGAAGAAATCACTCGACTCTATTCCTTCTCTGGGGTCTAGGCAAGGAGAAGGAGGAGGAGGTCTGGGGTTCAAGCAGCTTCCCAGGCGCAACTCGAACTGAGGAGATGGCGGCCAATTGAAGCTTCACGTTTGGGATACAGGTGGACAGGCACGGCGCTTGTGTATTGCCAACACACCACTGGCCCACAGAGGTGACGCATATCATTCAAGAATACTGTAGATGACACTTGAGCATTGTTGCTCGCTTTAGGCTTTGCTGGTTGCTTTTGCTCATGCTGTCCGGGACATTGCAGCTGCGCTTCCTTGTGAGGAGCGCTTTCGAGCTATGACTCACTTGTACTACCGCGATGCTGCGGGTGCGGTGCGCCGGCAGCATGGGCCGGGTGCACGAAGGCGGAATCCCTGTTGAAGGAGACCCGGAGCCTCTCCTATCTCAATAGCGATGGCCTCCGTTCACTGGAGCAGGGAAGAGGGGTCGGCAACGACTCAGGTCATAGTTTACGACTGCACTGATGCCCATTCGCAGGCAGGGCACAAGCTGGTCAAGGAAGTTCCCAGCTGGGCCCGCCCACCGAAGCTTTGGCCTCACAGGGGAGTATAATTATAGTTTTTTTGGGGCCACTGTCCTAGGAGAACATGTGGCCAAGCGTTCTTGCACCACACAGGAAAGAACTTTGGGATAGGGTCTCCAGCATGCAGTGGAAGACTGTCTTCCCCAAACCAGGCTTGCTTAAAGGAGCACACCTGTGCCCGTGTCAAACACATTGATTGGAAAGGGTTTGTTGGCATGCTAGATACTTTCGACCGCCCAGATCGTTGGAGGCTTCCGTGGACTATTGGGTCCAAGAGTTGCAGAACAAGGTGGATCGCACTTGGCGTCGGCTAGCGGACCATGGAGTTTCTGGGGAAAAAGGGAAACGAGGCCACAAAAAGCCAGAGTCTGCAAAGAGTACATCAGGCTCAAAACCAGTGGACGTTTTGATTCCCAAGAAAGATCCTCATGTGTCAGAAGTCGGTCACCAAAGGATGTTCTCAAAATGGCCAAAGATTTCGCTGTTGTTGCAGGGCCCGGCACGATGTTGTATGGCTGTGGCAGCCAACAAGCCCACGCCTCGGTACCTTTTAGTCAAGATAAGTCATAGAATGGTCATAAAAGATGTAACTGAGGAGCGATGTGGAGGCAAAAGCCGTGGATCCAAAGCAGATGAAGGCATCAATGTGCTCAATTTGGTCCCACTTTTGCTTCTTTGTTTTGGGCTCAAGGGGACCTGTGCTGTCAGGCTGTTTAGTGGTGATGTAGACCTTTTCCGGGAGGTCTCTTCATTGCATTTGTCCTTTCGCACCGCATCGACAGGCCATGTGCGAGGAGAAAGGCCTCCTTTTCGCTTGGAGCCCCAATGAAATGTGCAAACATGCAAGATTCCTCGGAAGGGCAGCCCCATCCCTCGGAAGCACACGCAACTTCAGTTCGCTTCCGGATTCCTCTTGGAGCAAACATGTCCTCCTTCCTTCGGAAGAAAGGAGGCCATTCGACGAGACTCAATCCGACCCGTCGACCGGTTGTTATCCACGTCCAGACCGTGAAACGCGGCTCCAGGTGGAAACCTCGGCCAAGACGGGTGAGAATGTACGACCCTGACCGCCGACTCCTCTCATCGGAATTTGGTTGGATCCAATTTGCCACTCCTCTCCATTGGTTTGTGGTGCAGACCTTGTGATGTTTCTTAGCGCCAATGATGTCAACTGCCTTGATTGGGTTGGTCAGCTAAATGCTAATCTCGTGTCCTGTCGATCAATTATGTCGTGCAACGTTGACACATGACACCGTGGGCACATGTGGCGTGTCATGGCTCTGATCCCTCTCTAAAAGCCTTGGAACCGCGTCCGACCAATTGACCAAGGAGGATGTCTACACATGCATTTGGTGCGAATGCCCCTCTTGAGAATCTTACACAATTGGCAAATTTATATAAACTTGTTGAGACCCAAACGGATATTGATCATGACCTGAAAGCATCTAGCAGAGTAAGCACAGCAGATTCAGCAACCTTTGCATGGCGTGAGACCGCAATGATGCAAGATGCAGGGCGCTTGGGATTTTTGCAGTCAAGTGTTCACGGTGGCCTCAGTAGTAAAAAGTAGAAGTTGGACAAAGATTTTCACAAGATATTTTCAGTATTTTCTATAGTTGTTGTCATGTCCCTTTGCTTTTCCAGGGTTGCAACCTATTTGTAGAGGAGAGTCGCGAGGCAGAAGAAGTGCTTCGTGCCATCGAAGAGAAGAAGGTTGAGGCGATGTCCGAGTCGGCGTGATCACTCGGCGATCTCCAGTGGGTCACCGAGTGTTGAGCCGACAAGCGCAAGGCACAGCAAAGCACCGCACAATGCTGTTTTTGCCGACTCTGGTGACCCAAGGGCATCGCTATGAAGGTAGCTCCTGGCATTACTACTAGTAGCAAGAAGCTGCTAGCAACAAAGGGCATCGCTACTAGGAACAAGAAGCTACCCCAACAAGTGCAGGTGCGCTTGGCTCAAGCCGAAGCCCAACGTGAACGGCATCAGCTGGAGCTGGAGCTCGGGTGCCTGAGGAAGAACCTGAGCTGGGCTTTCACGGTTAGCTGCCAGGATGGTTGAGTGCTTTTTTGCCGCAGATTCTATTTGACTTTAGTACTTTAGCACATTTCAAGTCGTTTTGCCCTATGTTGTCCAAATAAACAAATATCTCTAAGGCTTTGAGAAGAAACGACATTCTAAGCCTAAGCCATTGTTGAGGTGGCAACGGCTTCAGTGGCAACAGGAAGCGCTCCTTCAGGAGTCCTTTGCTGGTCTGGCTTCTGAGGTACTTTTCGACGGAGTAGTTGCAGTGATGTTCGTGGCTGCATCACTGCATCGCTGAAGAGAATCTTTTTTGGAGATCACATCTATTCCTCTTCTTCCTTTCTTGTGCTTAATGTGGGGGATGTGGATGCGGAGGTCACACCCTTTAGGTACTCCATGGTCCATGACTCCACAGTATATGGCATTTTCTGCCGAGCTCTGAACAACTGGAAGCGAGGAGAGGCGGGCTGTGCAGAAGCTGAAAGCGAACTTGGAGGTGGATTTGAGCAATCGCAAGTCACGACATTGGTACCCTAAATCACCATTGTGTGTTTGTGAGCGCAAGCAGTCAGATACCTAAAGCGTGGAAATATATAAGTCTTTTGCAATTTTTGTTTGCTGAATGACAGACCTAGCTTTGCTGCTCACCTTGTCAGTACAACTTGAGCGTTTGCATTGCACACCCGTTCTTCTTTGATAGAATGACACATACCCTGGAACAGAGCTCTCATCTCTCTCATCTCCAGGCCAAGTATGCCGTTTGCGAGGTGGAGTACCACGGGCACCAGGCATGGGGCATTTTGTGTCAGCCGTGAGCTCCTCTTTGCACCAACCTTTTCTGAGGTGCGCGGCAAACGCCGGGCAGGGCCTGCTTGCTTGGGCGATGACTCCAGCGGTATGGTGGCTGAAATTTGACGGTAGCAGTAGCACCTTCCCACACCCTTGGTAAACAACTGACATATCTATGTTTCTCACACTTTATGCCATTGTGCTATTCGGGCAACACAGTTTGGTTTTTGTCTTTCTCCCTGAACAATGGGTTGGTCTTGTTCTGTCAGGTCCAAGCTGGTCGTTTCTCTCTGTCTTGACAGATGGAGGCATGCAGGGGTTAAACTGACGAAGGGAATGACGGATTACAACTTAGACGTAGTGATGAGACATGCACTGCACATTGCATGAGCACCGCTTGTTTCATGACAGTTGTACTCTGGACTTGCTCACAGCCATGTGGCTGACGCAGCAGAGCATAAACAACACAGCCATGAAACAAGGCACACACGTTCTGGGTTTGATCCAAGAACTCGACGGATTTTGGAGCTCTGTTCGCTGCCAAAGTGGTAATCCTCGCCAATCTATCCATCTTTATTAAAGCAAAACTAGGGATGCAACTTAGGCCCAAAGGTTCGCTGGTGCACAGCCACAACAGTGCAAGAGGCTAAGCCGCGGAATGGAACTGGAACCTCTTAGGATGATGTCAGCCGAATCTCGATGGCTGGCGGATGATGTGGAGGACAGCAGCGATGATCTCCTTACCCCTTCAGTACATCTTTTGTCTATTCCATTTACTTGGTGGTCTGGATTGTGGTATACCACGTTTTTTAGCGTGAGACAAGCGTCTCTGCTCCACTGTCAGCTACCCATTTCCATGTCTCTCCGTCTAACCCGTCTAACCTGTCACATGTGTGTTTGTGCAAAGTGTGGTGAGGGGGATAGCTGGTACAGCTGGAGAACCACAACTCTTGCTTCGCGCTGCGAGGACCTGCTGGGCCTTGCTGAGTGGTCTAATCGGAGGATTCATTCTGGGCTATCTACCACACTATCTGGAGAGCAGACAGCGATTTGTCGAGCCCAGTGGAGTTGGAGCCGACTTGGTCTTCAGGGTTCAGAGGATCTTCAGTCTTCAGAGCAAGTTCCAGAAGATCGATGTTCTCAGATCTGACTTTTTCGGACACATTCTGACGATTGATGACGATTTGATGCTGACTGAACGAGATGAGCCGCTGACCTGAGCATGAGCATTTTGATACGTATATATATATATATAGCACAAAGAAGATCATTGTATCCTGAAGAGTTTTTTGGCTTCTGAAGATTAGGGGTCGACATCATGGAGCTTTGATTCTTGATCTTTCCCAACCAATCTTCTATTCTTTTGAACCCTTTTGAACCCTTCTTGCCTGAATGTTTGTTGTTCTTTTGAAGGTCTTGGAGCTCTGTTCCGTTGGGTTCTTTTTCTTTCAGATGAATAGTGAATAGTAATCAGAATTTCCTCCATTCATGGTGCTCCGGTGTTTCTGTCAGGTTCATCTACCACGAGATGATTGCACATGTGCCCGCAGCATATGTCCCAAACGCCCGTGACGCTTTGATCATCGGCGGAGGCGACGGCGGCACAGCGAAACAACTCTTGCGGCGGCCTTCCTTGGTGAATTTGACGGTTGTGGAACTGGACGAGGAGCTTGGGGAAGTGAGCTGTGGAGCATTGATAAGCTTGCCAGTGGTGGTTGCATGTGTCATGCTGTTGCCGTTAAGGCGCACCGGGGATTTGGTTGAGTTGGACATTCGATCCCTGGATTGCCCTGATGTGGAGAAGCGTCGGCCACAAACAACAGGATCGGACAACAATATGTTGGGATGATTATGATTTGATGCTGTTCGGGAGTGCACTTGGTGTGGGTGTAAGTGAACTGGCGTCGGCTTTGCTACCAAAACACCTATATACATATATAACATGTGGTGGTCCTGATTCTTGACCATCTTCCGACCACACAGCTGACAGGAGGTGGTACATGTCTGCCGCCGCTTCTTCCCCAGGCTGCGGGTGATGCATCTCTCTGGCCTTGGAGGTTCTTCTTGTGACTCACGAGGCCAACATGCCCACTCCCCCAAGACTTGAAGCTTTTGCGGGAAAACATCCCTCTCACGCCCCTGTGGGATTTGGATTTTTGGAACCTGCTGAACTGAGATAGCTTGTGGCATCACCTTTTCTGTGGAGGCAAGTCCACCTGCTAGATATTACATAATGCCTCATGTGGAAGAAGCTTCAATGTGAGTTTTCATGGGCAACCGAAGTTGGGTCCGCGGTCGTTGGGTCGTCCACTGTGGCAGGTTGGCTTCCTCTTTTGATGATCCGCGGGTGACTTTGTTGTTTGCCGACGGCGCTTCATGGGTGTCCAGCGCGGAGAGCCGGACGACGCTTGGTGGGTTAAGGCGGGAACAGCGAGGGAAGAACAGCAGGGCTTCCGGGAAAGGGATGCTTCGCAACACGACGTATTGCTTGTAAAGTACAGCCTTTTCAAGAATGCAAGAAGATGGCAATTTGATGCAACATGTATGACCAATATTGGAAGAGTGGAGGTGGGGTAAGGCTATGTGTTTGAAGTTGATGTGGCATTAGCTGAATGCAGAGGGTAGCCGTTAATGTCAAGAGGCAGGAAGAAAGAGACCCCAATTCCCCAATTGTCACAATTCCAGCTTCTCCACGTTTGCAAGTAAGATGCTTCGCAAGGTGCCATGTGTTCGGGGAGACCGCGCATCTTGGGGGGGAGGGAAGATTGTTGAGTTGGTCACGCAAGTCCCTGGTTAATTGAACTGGCCAGAAAAAACCTCAGAAACCAACAAAGACTCCACATGTTGGCCCTTGTGTAGTATTGATCTCTATTTTGGTTTCCTCGAATAACTCAGAACAGATTACACTGAGGTTTGATCTCATTATTGTGGACTCCACGGATTTTGGCGCCGCCCAACCGCTGTTTGAAGAACGATTTCATCGTCACTTGCGGCGCATCCTCGCGCCCGGGGGCATGTTAGTGACTGGGCGCCCTCTCTCAAACGAACTGAAAAGCAGTTGTAGCTGGTCGACCACAGCAGATCGTGCAGTGTGTGGATTCCTTTTGTTGATGTTCGGTATGTCATTTCGCCCATGGTGGAACCCGAGGCAAGGATCGATCCATGGGTGATACTACTAGTAACAAGTGCCACGTAACAGGTGCCTTACTACTAGTAACAAGAAGCTATTAGAATTAAGTTAACATTAACTTAAATTACCTATGTTTCTCCATGACACTCTTCATCGATCCCACCGGGAAACCCTGTGGACCTCTAGAGGTGATCGTCAGTGACACGGACCACCTCAGGTGATCAACCTCACCTCCTTGCCATGGCAGCTGACCTCGGTTCAACGGAGCGTGGCGCGGCAGCGGCAGATCTTCCGGCATGTGCGGGTCTTCCAGATTTACCAGCCGAGCTACACATCAGGTGGCGGTGTGTTCAAGGCTTCATGTGGATGATAGCTCAAAGGGAAGATGTATACAATGATATATACCTATATGAGCTGCGGATGTAGGGGCCGACGTCTGAAACATTGTCCATGGGTACTGTTTGAACATTTGTTTCCACAGGCGCTGAAGAGTTATGATGGATGGTGTGTTTTGACAGGCCATTACTGCTTTGCGATTTGCTCCAATGATCTCGATGCACAAGATCTAGGCGTTTGGGTTTGGGTGATGATTCTTATCACAGGGCCGCCATGGCAACAAAAACAAACATCACAAAACATATGGGATACACCTCAGCATTTAAGAAGGAGTCCAAAGACCATGAGTTTTAGGTGGTTTTAGTCTATTGTTCCATTTCGAGGGAGTCTTTGGGGGTCTCTGTATTGATTCCTTTCAATACTAGCAACTCTCGCAGCCAAGCGCTTGTACTGTTCTATTTTGACGGGGTTGGGAATCTACTGCTGAAGATCGAACCACTTCAGATGTCCTTGTTGTTTATATATATATATATATGACATTTTATAACCTATTCTTGTCCCCGGAAAGAGGGATGCTACAGAGTTGCTCGCCAGGCGCCATCGATTGGGCGGCCGCCACACGTGGCTTAGAAATGCAGAACCTTGGAGAAAACAACATGTACTTAAACCCACAGAACGGCTGATTGTAGATTGGATCGGGTCGACTAGGAGACTTCCTCCAAAATCTGGGAACCAAAGGACGAAAGCAGGATAGCGTGAGCTATCCTGCGTCCATGCTAGTAACTTAAGTAAGGTACTAGCTACCTCAGTTCCTTACTTAATCAAGTAGGCGCCTACTTAATTAAGTAGGGAGGGGGCGGAGCGGGCCAAACATAGGCAAGGGTTTCTGGGTAGTCTGTCGAAATTGTTGCTTTAATCCTTCTCAGGTACTACTCCCGTGAAGTGCATCAGGGTGCCTTCGCACTCCCCGAGTTTGCAAAGAAGGCATTGGGCCGAAGAGAACAGCGAAGACGGGTGCGGACGCCTGGCGTGTGGAAGTGTGGGATGGGAGGAACGGGTGGTTGGGAGAGGTTGGTGAAGTCTTGAAGTTGCGCACATCAGAAAGTAGTAGCGTCCGATCGCTCCTAGTAGCGATGCCAGGAGCCCCTAGTAGCGTCCTTGCTCCTAGCTTTGGTTGCAATTCATTGTTTTGCTTTTAGATTGTGAGTGCAGCTGTCCTTACATCAGGGATGGTTTGGCAGGTGCTCATTAATATAGCTTGTCATCACTATATACGGTCCGTTCAAAATGGTGATGTCTGCCAGGTATATATACTTAAAGCATGCATCGGAGAGCTTATTTCGCATTTGCATCGGCAGGAGGAGCTTTGACTGGGCTTCCTTGAAAAGGTTGAAAAAAGGGCCGTCTTGCTGCTGGCTGATTGCACAAAGACGCTTGTTGGGAGCTGATTCACGAGAAGATGTGCAGCTCTATTCTTCGCCTCGTTGCAAGGGCAGCTTCTGATTTGATAACGAACAGTGAAAACCTTGCAACGTGCATCGTTTGGACAGATCCTTGTGGTGTTTTGATGTGTTTCGTGTCTTCCTGTGTTTTCCCCAATCCTTGACCTTTGCAGAACACAGGTTCCTGGTTCGAGAGCTGCTCCTGCCCTGGCCATGGGCTCAGTCGGACGGGGTTATGCTGAGTCCCCCAGACCCTTCCCCAGCGCGTCACGGGCCAACAGCGTGCGGGGCAGGTTCAGTGTGGGCGGCGGCAACGGCAGTGTGGGCCGAGGCTCCAAATCCAGGGAGGCCGCAACCAGTGGCCGACCGGAGGCGTGGGAGGCAGATTTGGGGAGTGAGGTGCGAGGGAGCAAACAGCGGCCATGGAAGGGATCCACATTTTTGGGAGTTAGGAACCTCTGGTCTGAGCTGAACAAGCACTTCCCAGTCTCTCAGTGTTCATACAGCGAAAGGTGGGGACCGCGCTGCCCTTGGCAATGCCAGAGGAGATGTGATGCATGTGGTGTTTTGACAGAGAAGCTCTGGGGTGGTGGTGTTGATTTTAGGAAATACAGGTCCGATCAAACCCAGGTGATTTGCACAGGTCTCCCCATGGATGCTTTTGTCCTGTGCAGGAGCTTCAACTCACGATAGCGTCTCCATCTGGCAGGCTGGGCAGGGGAGGGATGCCCAGCTGGTAATCTTCTGTCTCCACATAAGCTCCACATTCTTCGCATTTAGGAGCAAGGACGCTACTAGGGGCTCCTGGCCTTACTGCTAGGACCCTAGGAGCAAGCTACTAGGAGCAAAGGGCATCGCCACTAGGAGCAAAGGGCATCGCCACTAGGAGCAAGAAGCTACTCCAGAGGGGTTCTTTTCTTTCGAGGTTGAAGACCGCCCCATGCCACGCACCGAGCAACGCGCCTCCATGAGCTGCAAGATTCACAAGAGCCGCGCTTGCGAAAGGTTGAAGTTTGCTTCACAACCAGCGATGAACTTGAGTCTTTACAGACTCTGCAGGCCATTGCAGGAGTTTGTTTGAGTTTGATTGAGTGAGGCGAGCTTCCCTCTATCCAAGAGCACGCCTTGCTGGAGTCCCTGGGAATGCACTGGGATGTTGCAAAGGGCACAAAACGGCTGGCAGGGTTTCATTTCAGTCTTCCAAAGTATTATATAATATATACACCGGCGTGCGGAAAGTTGCGCTTCTTAACTTCTAAAACATCACACACCCTTTCCCCTTAGAATCCTACGTGTAACATGTCGACACCTAAGTGGCGGTCAGATTTCCACACCTGAAAGCCTTATAAGTATTTGTAAGTATTATAAATTAAACGGGTGTGGAAATCTGACCGTGCTGTACCTGCCACGCAAAATGGACGTGTTAATCCGATCCGCTGTAGACCGCAAGTGTCACGTTGGAACAGAGTAAGAAGCGTAAACTTTAGGGTTCTTGAAGTATATATATATATATATAAATGGAGAAACACATGGTCAACCTTCTTAACTTATTGACGAACTTTAAAGGGAATCGGAAGCCATCCATACACATTGTGACATGACTCTTGCGGGCGGGGCGGGGTTGTGTTTGTGAATATTCAGTTGATCTCAGATCACTGTCAGGGATGAGTTCAGACTGAGCCGCACCTTGTCCAGTGCACGTCGCGGTGGGGCTTGAGCCTCTCAGCAGGTTTGTCCCAAGCAAGCAGTTCATGTAGCAGAAGCTGCGACTTGGGCCTTTTGATAGTATGCTTGAAGGCTTCAAGCAAGGTGTCAGATGCTAGTCATGCCTTGTGTTGAAGATGAAGACAGAAGACTTGCTTGAGCGGACCTGCGAGAGCCATGACGGCCATCGGGCCATGGCGAAGAGTTTTTTAGACCCGAATGGTCATCACCAGGGCAAGTCCGGAAGCTCGCAAGACCGGAAGACGCAGATCGGCACGGATGGTTTTGGACCTGATTTGGAGAAGTGACCGGCTTCGAGTACCCTTTTGGAGGCCACAATTCAAGCATCTTCGTGCATGTTTCCAACTGGGCAAATGCACCTTCGAGCACCGCCCGGAGAAAAGATCGCTCTTTGTGATATCATGTAGTGCCAGGATGTGCCAGGCCTAGGGGCCTATTGTACAATTTCTCCAGTCTAACTATATACTTCACTCCTTGTTCAGCAAGCTGGGGACAGTTTGTTTGTTTGTTTGTTTGATTGCATGTGATGAATGCATGAGTGGTTGACTTCGGTCAATCCAGCTACTCCGACCACTCTGAAAACAACAAGGTCCAACGTTCGCTTCCAACCGAAGGGATATGACCCAGACCCAGCCGCATTTGACCCAAATCTAATCCACATCTGTAGAAGGGCCCTTGCTGCCATCGCGCAGGTGGGCCACTTATTTGAGTCCTTAGCTGCCAGGGTGGCTGCTGAGATGGGGCGGTGAGTGGGATCGCAATCGCCCACTACTCAGAACATGCGAACCTGACCAGATTGTAAGCTCTTTGTTCAAGAACCAAAAACTTCAAGTCACTTCACTCTTCTCCCTGGATGGTCACTTGCAGTGAGTGAACCCCATGGAGCAACGTGGAGCGTGCCTTTCCCGAGCGCCGAGCAGACGATGCTCCTCTTTTCCGCAAAAGGTGCAAGTCAGGAGGTTGAAGGGAAGTGACGATTTCCCAGGGAATGGGCATGTTGGCTCTTGAGAAGTATCAGTGTATATAACATGTGTAACTGCCCTTCGCTGTTCCAGAAACTGAAGTTTTAGATATTCAACTTCGATGCACCGAAAACGCGATGAAAACGCGCCGAAAAGATCAAGTGGATCCAGTGCAGCCCGAACACGCTGAAGAGCAGCGGCTCGTTCTTTTGCAGTTTAGCTCCAAAACAAGCGACTGTTTGAATGTCTTTAGCTTGTGCAGGTAATGACCTCGACGTATGACAGATCTAAGGTGCTTGAAGTAAAGAACTTCAAGTTTTGGCCTGGATGGCATTTTCAATCATTTTCAGCATAGAGTTTTTGGGTGTCACTCATGATTGGAACTACTACAACTTTTTGGAATTAGGTGTCCTCCAACTCCAACTTCAACTTCAGAGTGAACCTCCCTCCAGGCAGAGTGGGGCGAAAAGACTTTCTGCCATCCAAAATGCTGCAGCTCTTTGAAACAATGAATGGGAGTTCCCAGAGAATTGAATGAACAGCCACGCTCAACCTTCGTCATTGGCCTGCACTTCAATTTGAGGGCAACCCATGACACTTCCAGAATCACTGAATGACAGCAAAATGATGAGACTCTCCTAGCAAATGTTTGTGATAGTGATCGTCTATACATTTTCTGACGCCCTCAACAAGAATTTCTGAAGTCCAGCCTGTGGCGGGTGGGGTAAACTGCTTGCATTCACACTGAGTTCCACTCTGGCGTCTCCACCTGCTGGTCCTGCTTGTGTGGCGATTGGCTCGAGTCCGCTTGATGCTCTTTTAAAGGCAGCGCCATGGAGGTGTAAGGCCAGCCTTCGCTTTCGCACCTTTGATCTATTTGATATATTGTATAATTACTAATATTCTGAGTATTCTGAATGGTCTAGTAGAAACCCACAATTGTCTGGGCGCAGACATGAAGGGAAAGAGCGCCCGCAAGCGTTCCCAGGCGTTGCGCCTGGGAACGCGCCCGCAAGCGCGGTCGGCGGTTGGCGCCCGCGCAGCTGCCAGTGCAGGTCCAGTGAGGCTGGCTACATCTGGCTGCTGGTAGCGAGTTTTGTTTTCTGAAGGAGAGGGCCTCTACAAACCAACCTTTTTGCAGGGGCGCCACATCCTGGGGCTTTGGCGCCACATCCTTGACTCATACACTTTGTGGCATTTTTGTGGACGCCCTTGATCTCATAGCCTTATCCCTCAACTAGTCTGAACGGATCATTTTTGCACCATAGAACTGAGTAGCTTTCGGTGACAATCATGATCAATCATGTATTTTCAGTATCAATGCTTGGACGAAGTTTCCATATGCACCAACATACTGTACCTGTTGCTACAGCAAACGTCGCCGATGCGTTGAACAAACGAAACGTTTCTTTCACCCATTTCTGGACATGTGCCAGTCTACCACTGCATTGTCTTCTCGCATGTGATGTTTTCTCGTCCAGTCAGCTGATCTACCCCTTTCTTGTGAGTTTGCTTTTACAGCTCTCGGCTGTGCAGGGGGCAGTTGCAAGTAGCAACGCTTTGAAACAGCAAAGAGAGCAAAAGGGAGCAAAGGCACACCATCCCGCCTGAGCTCAATCATTGACACAACTTTTCCTAAACACCGAGGAGCTTCTGAGGAATGCGCTTGGCCAATCACTTTGTTCTCCAAAGATCCCATTGCACAGGGAATGATTTGCATGTCTGACTGCACAGCGCAGCCTGGCACGCTCCCGCCGAGTGTGCTAGCAACAGAATGGATTGGTTCGTTGGTTTGTTGGACCAGTCCTTCACCGGGCAAGCGCTGCGCAGTACTTGTAGCAAATAGAGCAGAAAACGAAGGCCAGTCAAGCCCCCATGTTCGACCATGTTTTCCTGGTGCAGGGGGCATTCACCATGCCAATGACGGCTCCAGGGCTGCTTGGTGGGGAAGGAACGGTCCAACTGGTGGTGGGAGTGTGAACATTTTGTGGGTGGACACCCCTACAGCTGGTGGATTGGGCACGGAAAGGAGCCTGGTCT